CCGGCCAGCAATGTTCTTACAACGATATTGTCTCTTTCTTGAACCAGACCCAGTCGTGGATGGATGAAACCGACTACGTGGAACGCTATTCCTGGTTTGGCGCTATGAGAAATTTGCAAGGTGTCAATCGTGTATGTATCAACGTTCTTACAGTCTAGGATTTTGCTGACCGCTTGTTTCTATCCCAGGATAATGCGCTGATGGACTCTAAGGGTGTTATCAACGACTTGGGCGGTCAATATATCGGCGATCCTAATCCTCAGCCGGGCGGCCGTAACGCTGCATTAGCGCTCAATCCTTCTCTATGGCTTCTTGCCAGTTCTGTGATTCCAATCATAGTCGGACTATAAACTCGGTGCTGTATTCGAATTTCGATCACACAGAAGATACCCACTGTATTACTTGAACTTTTGTATCATACATCTACACACGATCTTGGCTTATGGACTACTGTGTTGTTGCGTAGAGCTGGTAATCATGATAGATAGATATCGTTTGCTCTCAAATAGCCTCATCTTCATCCAAACTTAAACTCGGTGAAGTAAAGATCAAGAAGGTTTGTATTTCATATGCGAATGTTACAGTAAAGTCAGTCGACAAGGTAAGGCTTAAGCTAAGGTAAGGTGCTACGATCTGAACATAAATTTCAGCGGGATTAGATAACAGTCAGTTTAATATTTGCATTTCTAAGAGTGGCTATGATAAGATCCTGCTCGTTATTCCATAATTGAAGGTAATCCGATGGCCATCGAACCATAAACTCGCGTATTCCGCTATGAGGGAGATGCAGCAAGAAGTGAACTGGATGCTGTGGTTGATAGACACACACAGTAGTCAAACTAGGAGGGTGTGCGTCTCGGCGTAACAAATCGGCTGTGGCGAGATCATGGCTGAACGTCAAACTAGAGAGGGAACAAAGTCGAGGAACGATTTGGTTTAAAATCCCGATCCGCCCTCGTTCCCATCCAGCAGCGCCAATGGTAATATTGACGACTTTGAGGTGCTCAAGGTGTTGCATTTGAGAAATGTAATGCACGAGGTCATGTGGATGTAGCGCATTTCCTGGACAGACCCCATCCAATTCCAGGGATACGAGTCTATTAGTCCGGATAGACTGCAGTGAGGATCTAGATAGGTTACTATGGCAAAACCGAAGAGTCGATAGCGACGGAAGGATCGGACGTCCAAATGCGAGCGTGGTATCTGAGCCTGGCACATAATTATAGACATGCAAGTCCAAGTCCGTCAGACTGGCTCCTAGATTGGTGTTAGTACGACCCGAGTCGTGGTCGATGCAGAGCTTGCACAATTCTGCAGATGTGAGGAAATGTGGTCCAAAGTTGTCCCTCCCTAAGAGAATCAGTCTCTTGATATGGGTGGTCCTTTTGAGGGTTTGAAGGACGTGATCTACATTGGAATTATACCAGATGGTTACACACCGCGCAGAGGTGCATTTCCGGAGTAAAATTTCCGCAATGTTCCAGAAAATTCTGTTTTCTCCATGATAGTCACCCAAAACCAAACGTGGAGGTACCAGGACGAGTGATCGAACAAGGTTTCTAATACGGGAATTGTTTCCTATCATCTCTGCAAGAAGCAAAAAGCGGGTGACATTTTGGGGCATTGGCTGGTGGTATAGGTGAGGACGAGCGATGGCATTTAGGCGGCGGGATGAATTGGCTAGATTGAGTAAGGTGTTTTGGAATTCTATGTCCCTCGCCTCATGAGACTGGTAGCAATCGTAGAAGATTGAGCGCGAGCGCCAGCTTCGGGGGCGAAGATGCCGAGCAATCTCTGATAAAACATCATCGGGAATTGATCGGGGCGTAGAGTTTCGTATAAGGGTGCTTGGTCTGGCAGACATTGATTTGCACAACTTGGCCAGCCGGTGCTTGCGAGAGCTCAAACTGTTTGGAAGGATTAATCGGCACCAGCCGGCACTGGGATGCCTACGGCGAAAAGTAATTCTGTTTCAATTGTCAGTCTTTGCTATTGCTACAAGATACATACATCATGACTTGAAAGTCCACAAGAAAAGGTATAAAGTACCGAGTATATCAAACACTCTCCTGTTTAATATCAAAGACCGTCCCATGAGGATGATTGTACAGATGCAACTCCCTATCATCATCAGGGTGCACGACGCCCTTGACTTGTCTAATGGTTTCAAACTTTGTGTCTCCCATCTCATGCGACTCTACAACCCGAACACCCGATAGCGTAGCTCGATTTTGGCTGTTGATGAATCCAGGTGCGGATTGACTGCCCGAACGATCACGACCGTAGGATAGTCCAGTTCCAGTTCCACTGCTTCCAGTCCCAGACTGTTTGCTAGTAGTACCATAGGCCCAACCTTGGCGAGAGTTGAGACTGCTCATGAGCATGATGGAGTAGATTTTGTTGAGGGGGATGTTGAAGACGAGGTGTCTGGGAAAAGAAAGATGAGTTTCAATGGATTTATCCTTGCCTGTAAAGAGAATAGAGTATACATACGTTGCACTATTAGGAAACACGAGGAAAAGGACAACGTCGATGACGGCGACAACAGAAGTTACCAGACCCGTTTGCACCGTTACTTGCACAAACGATCAGCCCTTGTAAAGAAAGAAATAAAAGAATCTTACATCGAATGATACGATCTATGACTTCATCTGATCCTCTGAATCCTTGCTTATTACGGCGCTGAATAGTGTTGTTAGTTATTACCATACTTGGGCATCAGCGAATAACGGCGTCTTCACTTACTCTGTAGAAGCAAAACGGTTAGCACCGCATCCCAATTGGGGAGGAATCATAGCAGGAAGAACGCACAGGTATGTAACAAGTACAGATGTAATGATAAGGTCAGATGTAGTCTCAGATACAAGCCATAGAACTATCCAGTCCTAAGGAACATGCGCTAAGTAAGCGGAAAAATACAGCACAATTGACCAGCATGGCACACACCTTAAAGTTTCCAAACTCAACAACACGAGGAAACCTTTTCACTTCAAAGGATGATACAAGTGATGCAACTATTTTCGCCAACTCGACGATCAGTACGAATAATCGAAACATAGATTCGAGCCTCAAACACACCAAATCCGAGTACAGACGGGATCCCAGCGAGGAGTGAGAGTAACACACTTCCAGTCAGGACTTTGACTCTCCATGCGAAGAACACTTGGACGTAGGATACGATGATACCCTGATGAGCTTTTTAGCGTAGGATTCGAGGGAGTCTCGGTGTGAAGACATACAGTCATCACTGCGCCGGTCGCAAACACTAATGAAAAGAAACTGTCAAAAATTCAAGTAGAAAGGAGCAAAAGAACTCACGCCAATCCGCAGTCATAAGGGAGTCGATGTCACCTAAATCCATCAGCAATTTTCTGTGCGCAAACCCCAGTCACACTCACCAAAATTGCTAATCATTGCATTGTATAACCAGATTGCCAGGAAAATGGTGTTGAGGAGGTTGGCGAAGAGTAATACCGCAACCTAGGCGAGAAGTATTCGTTGAGGACAGACACAATAGAATGACGATTGATAGACTACTGACATATAGCTTCATCCATGTTGGATCCCTGGAGACACATAGTTTTAGCATAGGACACACGAACAGAGAGAATCAACACTTGCTTGCGATAATTCCTCGCATAGAGGTAGCACTGGACAAACAACAACCCGAGCAGAAACAGGTTGAAAAGCCAGCCAATGAAAAACGGTCCTGCACTACAAGTCAACGATCAGGGAGTGTACGAAACAGTATGGCGGCCGAGTAAATGGAAGGAAGAGAGGAACGTACACAAGCTCTGCGGCCGCCCCAAGTTGAGATACCATTGATTGGAGGTAGAAACAGAAAAGGTCGATTGATGGGTGCGAAGCTCGGAAGCAAGTGTGGTTATATAGGTTCTTGTCGTGAGGACATCCAAAAACCGATACCTAGGGGAGCCCACTCTACTATTGACAATCATGGTCCACCTGAATGGGAAACTGACCGATGAAGAAGTTTGGTCCCCTTTCAGTCGGTCAACATTCAATTTGAAACTCTCCGTCGGCAATATCGGGACAGGGATGCGGAGGCTGAGAAGAAAAATGGACGGGGAAAGGGGTTGTTTCAAGGCCGTTTCCAGGTCGATGAGATACGTCGTAGTCCATGTGCTTGTATAATTAAAAATACATATAGCTCTTCGACTGACATGACTCCTGTGAGACGCAACTCGAGAACCTAGGAATCATGCTAAGAGCACGATGTAGGGTCGGAGTCCAAGCAAAAAACTACCGCACTCCCGAGATTGGTCGGAAGATTCGGTCAATTCGGTTCTGAAGTTGAAGCGTGACCTTGTCGTCGATGTGCACCTTGAGAGACTTCACACTTCACACTCGGAACGGACGACAAGCTGGAGGTTGCTTGTCGTCTGACCCGTAGGCTTGCTGTCGCCTGGAATACCATCAAGTATCATGGGTGAACGAGAGAGAAAGCGAGGTTCGTCACGAAGGCAACACTGCGAAAGGTGGAAATGAAAAAGAGTACGAGGCTGACTCGTCAACTGCCGCCGATATGCCGGTGACACGGCATTTCGATCCAAGATCGAGGGGCACCGTTATTTCTGTGGCACAGTGACCATCAGTCTGGTGTTCAGTGAATGCGATAGTCCAGGGCATTTTTTAACATGCTTAACCTGAAAATATACTCAGCTTGTCGAGTAGATACTTGACAGGAGGTGGAACAGTACGTGATGTGCAGGGCTACGACACTTCCGGGCCTCCTTCCCAGGCGGTCCGTCGTTCCGTAGATTTTCAATCTCCGCGTAAACCTTATCGAATCTGAGAACGGGGTTTACACAACTAACCACTGTTCTCAGATTCAATAAGGTTTACACGAAGATCGAAAATCGACGGAGCGACGGGCCGCCTGGGAAGGAGGCTGGCCTTGAAATAGAATTCTCCTTATTCAAGAGCTTATACTTCCACCTGAAAGAGTATACAATAGTGTTCTCACTGAAATTCACTTTCAATCCGTTATGGTGTAGTGGCTAACATTATCGCCTCTCATTCCCGTCTACGTATAGGTTTGCGCGATAGCCCAGGGTTCAATTCCCTGTAACGGAATAGAATAGACGAATCTTCTTTTTCAACCTCGTTTTTGCGACGTGACAATTAATAGTACCTATTTACTTATTTTGAGAGTGAAAATGGCCACATGACAATGTCATGGCGTAGTTCCAATCGTTGGTTTGTCTATCGGACATCCCCTTAATGGCCCAATGCGGCCCAGGGTGTTTGATAGTGTATTTACTTGGAAACAGAAAGACGATGTATACATTGCACACTTCCCATACAACAACTCCGTTATGGTGTAGTGGCTAACATTATCGCCTCTCACCCCCCTACACTGCATTCCAGAGCGCGATAGCCCAGGGTTCGATTCCCTGTAACGGAAGATTTTTATCTGTCGCCAAAAGTTAATTACTCGCAATTGCTGGTACTAAAAGTAATGATCTCCTTCAGTGCGAACCAGGTAGTGATTTACGCGTTGTAGACGCGACCTCGGTCCGACGCGTCGAACCGGTTGATTATTACTTACCCTGGACCCGGAACGGAGTCGAGTCGTCGACTAGAGGTTCCGAGTCGAGGCACTCGTATTGATCGACACAGGGTCGTACCCTTCCCCAAAAAAGTACAATACACAACATTTTTCTAAATCAATAAGTTAATCCGAGTAAATCTAAGCCAAACTCTTGGGCAATCCCTCTGCATTCAACAAGGTCTCTTCCTCCCCAAGCTTCCTCGGTCCGTCACCAATCTTTGTATGAATTAGTCCCTTGACAGATCCCACTTCCCAAACTTTTGCTACGTTTTCGTTGAACCCCTCTGGGACTTTTCCACTCCCAATCTGCAATCCAAACGGATCCTTGAACGAATCAGGTGGCTGAGGGAAAAACTTGACGATCATCTCTATAATCTCCTTTACATTCTCCTGTTCAGTGTAGATAACCGCATTCGGACCCGCGTCAAACGTGTACGCAGCTTTTACTTTACCCGTTTTTTCTACAGCCACACGGTTGTACTCTTCCACAACAGCAATGATCGCTCGAGAAACATCGTTCATGTAAAAGATGGGAGGAGAAGTATCGAGGGCTACAGCGTGGAACTGGTTCGAATCAGCCATGGTGATCCTCGCAAACGTGTCGAAATCCTTGTCGAGGATTGCTTTAGAGATGTCTTCCATCCTCTTTGGAACGACGTGTTTGATACGGTGTTGTAGAAGAGGAGAAGTCTCTACGGTGCGCTGCATACCTGAAGTGGAAGAAGTACCCTTTTTCGCGTCGTTTACGACGCAGATGAGAGCGTGCATCGTGGGCCAGTGGGATTCTGGAGCGACTTGGACGGCAAAGGAATCGAGACCTGTAGATTGGGTACCTTGTTCCCAAGCTACGAATCCACCAAAGAGGGAACGACAGGCAGAGCCGGAGCCTTGACGAGCAATGAGAGAGAGGGTGGATGGGTTGGATGGAAGGGTGTAGAGGGCAGCGAGAGAAGAAACGAGAGCGGCGAAACCGGAGGCGGAAGATGCGAGGCCTGCGGCGGTAGGAAAGTTGTTGTAGGATGCGATGTGGACGGAGAATGTCGAGAGCTGGAAAATGTTAGTCAAAGAACAGAATAGAAAAGTGTATGCACCTTTGGCGCGTTTGGATCCTTGTCTTCAACGAGTTCTTTACGAAGACGCTTCATTTCCTTGATGCAAGTGGACATGCGGCCGCCATCCTTGATGATCTCTTCCTTGCCATTGAGCCAGAGACGATCAGAGGTAAAGGATGGGTCTGCACGAGAAGTGGTGGTGGATCGGAGGTGATCCTGGTCGAGAGTGACGGAAAGAGACGAGTTTGTAGGGAGAATGAGGGAAGTGTCGCGTTTGCCCCAGTACCTAGAAAGAGTTAGATGGTGTAAACAGTATAGGGAATGGACGTACTTGATGCAGGCGATGTTGACAGGCGCAGAGGTGGTTGCTTGAAAGACCATGGTAGGATGGCCCCAGATATTCGCCTTTGTGTTTTTATAGTGGGGATCGAGGTAGAGGAGTGCACGTGACCAACTTGGGTTTGCTCTGTGCAATGTATTACCCGACCAACTCGCCGGCCATAAAGCCCAACGACTGGCGGTCTCAGTTTCCAAATCCACAGTCGGGCGCAGGCCTACCCACGTCCCCCGGATATCCAATCTACCCCCAGTTTCCCAATCTCCACCAGCATCCTCACCACCAGAACCACTATCCTTCTCCCCCGTCAATCCAGCCCCATGTCCTCGCCCAGGGTTCCCCAGCCAGCGTGCCTAGCCAGCCCATGACCCAGCATTGGCAGCAGCAACTGCTCAAGTGCGAGGTCCGTCGTCGTCGTCCATCTTGTTCTTTCTCCTCTCATTCTCTTTCAGATGATTCGTCAGTCCAGGTCACCCCACCACAGAGCACGCGCAAACGCAATGGCTTCACGGACAATCACAAAGTCGGCCATTCCCATCACAAACCCAAACGCAATCGCAATCAAGTCGCCCGAACAGCAACCGCCCGACGTAACTGCCACGCCCTCACCCGACTCCAACAACAACCACCCCTCATCCACCGTTCCTCCCGTCGCAGAAGCTCCCAGACCAACCTCTTCTCGTCCTCCAGACCACGTATGGACCTCTCTCGACATGGGCGGCATCAACATAAAAAACCTCCCGTCGTCTTCGGGTCTCTTTTCCTTTTCCTTTCTCATCAACCTCTATCTCAACCACAACGCTCTCCAATCCATCCCTCCCGAAATCTCCAAACTCCGCCATCTCGAGCTCCTCGATCTTTCTGGAAATGTCCTCGAGTCTCTTCCCCCAGAACTAGGCATGCTCGTCAATCTCAAAGAACTCTACATCTTTGACAACCGCATCCAATCTCTCCCTTTCGAGCTTGGCACCCTTCATCAACTCCAGACTCTGGGTATTGAAGGAAACCCACTCGATGCTTTCACCAAATCCCTCGTCCAAAAGGACGGCACTCCAGCTCTCATCTCCCATCTCCGCGACACCTGTCCCCCACCTCCAGATCCCCCTTCTCGTCTCTGGCACTCATACACAGACACAGACTCGTCTTTAGAAACCGTTTCCGTCTTGAGTTACAACATTCTTTGCGAGAAATATGCTACAGAGCGTCTATACGGGTACACTCCCCAATGGGCTCTCTCCTGGGAATACCGTAAAGAACTCATCCTCTCGGATCTTCGGGGGAGCGACGCCGACTTTTTATGTCTCCAAGAAGTCGACGTGGGGCAATATGAAGACTATTTCACAAAAAACCTCTCTGAAAACGGGTACGCAGGTGTCTACTGGCCCAAGAGCCGAGCCAAGAACATGTCGGACGCAGACCGTCGTCTCGTAGATGGCTGCGCGACTTTCTACAAATCGGCCAAGTACCAGTTGATCGAATCCCATTTGGTGGAATTCGCTACGTGTGCTATGCGGAGACCGGATTTTAAAAAGACGGATGATATGTTTAATAGGGTGTTGGGCAAAGATCACATCGCGACAGTGTGCTTTTTCGAAAACAAGTTTACGGGGACGAGGGTGATTGTGGCAAACGCACATATTCATTGGGATCCGGCGTATGCGGATGTCAAACTTGTACAGGTGGCGTTATTAGTTGATGAAGTGGAGAGGCTTGCCGACGAGTTTGCGAAATTTCCGCCGAGGAGGTTGGAGGTTGAGGAAGAGGAGGAAGAGGATACGAGAACAGGGTTGCAGACGCCGCCGCCTGGGTTGGGTTCAAGAACGCCTTCTCGTGCTTCTAATGTCAAACGCAAGATGAGGAAACCGCCGACGTATTCTGATGGAACAAAGATTCCTCTTATTATTGCTGGAGATTTCAATTCCGTTCCTTCTTCAGGAGTATACGAGTTTTTGAGTACCGGGAGCCTACCAAAGGATCATGAAGATTTCATGGGCCATTTGTATGGCAGATATACGACGGAGGGATTGAGGCATAAGCTTGGGTTAAGGAGTGCGTATTACTTGGGGCCGGGTACGAGTTCAACAAAGATGGACGGACATGCGAATGGAGTGAATGGAGCACAGACGAATGGAATTAACGGGCACGCATCCACGAACGGAACCCCTTCAACACCTAGTACAAACGGTTCCAACGGTCTCGTCAAATCCAAACCTAAACCTTCCTCTTCTTCCTCGCTACCGGCACATAAAATCCCGGGAACTCCAGAGTCAAACGAGCTGCTAAGAATCACGAATCTCACTCCTTCGTATCAGGGCGTGTTGGATTATATATGGTATTCGACGGGGAATTTGGGTGTAGAGGGGGTTTTAGGAGAGATAGATGAAAAGTATTTGGAAAAGGTTGTTGGGTTTCCAAATGCGCATTTTCCTAGCGAGTGAGTACCATATTTCTTTTTCTTTTCTTGTAGCTGATTTTTTTGCTTTAAAGCCACATATGCATTATGAGTCAGTTCAGGGTCAAACCTCCTCGAGAACCCCCTGTGAGACCGCCTCCGCCGACGTTTAATTCGTAAATGCAGTAGGGATCCTCGGACCCTACGCTTTTTGGTGGGTGTGGATATGCGGTGCTTTCATTTATCATCTACGTACACTCGTTTTTAAAATGTTTCTCTCCTTCGTACGACACGCTCGCTCCATCTCCCTCTCACTCGTTTGCAAGATGTTGTCCTTTTACCTCTTATTCATCACTCATCACTGTAAACTCTGCACAACACAGACCAAATGGACTTGGCACGTATACAACGCTTTTTTATTTACACTTCCCCCTCACCCTTTCCCGGTACGTATGATACATCGTCCATCCACCCACCTATTTACCATCCCCACTTCTCTCGATTCTCGTTCTCGAATCAAATCAAGCTGTACCACATACAACACCACCCTTTATATATACAATCTCCATCCTCTCCTCTCCTCCCGGTGTTTCTTTTTCTCTGCTGTTACCTACCTTGTTTCTGTCTCTGTTTCTTTACTTGCCTACTTATATAACTATTCTCTCTCTCCCTCTCTGTGTGTGACGGCTATTTGCGTCAAGTACATATATTCTTGGTTGAATTTCTCTCCTGTTACGAGGTGTGTTTAACAGCCGTTTGTTTGTCTCCGTGTCCTTGTCTTTGCTTAGTTTTCCTACATATTTGTCTTGTTTCGTCTTGTACATACGTACATACATAAGTACATCGTTTCAATTGGATTTCTCTCTCTGTTTCTTTCTGATCTTTTTGATGTTGCCTTCTTGAATCGGAAAAGACCAAGCAAGATAAGTTCCGGTCGCAGTGCTTAAGGAATGTAGATTTCCAACTTGAGAAGAAGGAAGAAACCAGTCGGAGGGCGATACTTGAGGATTTCGGATCCGAAGATGAAAGAAGAAATCCTTAGATGAATGAATCAACCTCTTTTTATCTGGTA